GGTCTACATCAGCTTATTTATAGTATCAATGGAATTTTGTTGTTTTTGCGCTATTTCACGCTAGGGCTGCGTTCACACTTGGCGCTCAAGTAAGATGCTCGAGTAAGATTCTTGGTAGGCAATAATGTGAATAGACCCTTTTTCTTCAAGTACCCAAGCCAGAATTCGGGTACCATGCCCGTACATGCCCAAGGTCTTGACCTTGTACTCGGGCACTGAATCGGGCACTGGTATATTGGGTATCCAGTGTCTGAACACAGCACCATTTTGTGCCGGTGCCCTGGCACTAATGCTTAGGCACCAAGAGTGAAAGCAGCCTACGTCATAGCTTGGCCGAGTAACGACTGATAATAACCGGAAAGGGTACAATGAGCTTTGAAAAGAAATTTGACAAGTAATGCAACATGGGGAAAACTGCACAGATCTGAGACTTGATTCGGCCATTTGTTCATTTATTTTCTACAATACCATGAATGTTAACCCTTAGATATCGATATCGAATGATTTGGATTCAAGTTTTCGAACTATCGTTGCCAGGGTCTCTCATCTTCCCCGGGCACGAAGATGAGAGACCCTGGGAACGAGGTTGTCATTACAAGTCAAGACTGACTCGCTCAAATAGATTTGACACCCGGAGTGGACAAACTTTAAAATGAAACGGAAGGAATAAGATACTTTTTCTTTTTTTTTAAATAAACTTCACTGAGAGTCATATTCTTCACGTGCGAAGCTTTATTTTTCTCCGGTGTTTTCATTCCTCGAGATTCTCATATCTGACTCAAAACCACAGAACTAGGGGTTTCTTCGTCTCACAACGAAATCACAACAATGTCAACAGATTCTGAAAGGTATTTTGCATAAACAATCAAAAATTATCGTAGGAATTATCGCAAATTCAAATAAAGATTATAAGTTTTTGAAACGATACAATGAAACAAAGCGAGAACTGACCGGTTGAACAGCTGCGTCCAATACAAATACCCGTGAAAGACTACTTTTGTTTTTTATGCCCCGCTGATTATTGGTTAATCATTCATGAAACGCAACAACGTGTTCAAATGAGCGCTTGATCATGGCACGGAAAACAGGGATTTATCGCCGAGCACTTGCCCGAATCTTTGCTGTAACCTTGTTGGTTCTTCAAGGTGTAATGCTCGACTACTATTTAATCGTCGAAGCGAGCTCTTCATGGTGGTTTGCGTGGGTTGTGACAGACATAATCGTAATATCCTCTTGGGTTTTAACACTGTGGCTATCGCATCGAAAATCTCGAAGTGCTACAACAGGCACGAAAGATGCAATCAAATTTGCCTATCAAGCCTGGATCATCTACGCTGTACATTTAGTTCCCCAATTAGCCACTCTCTTCAAGCTTAAATCGTCGTTGTTCTCGGAAGAAGAACTAATATTTGGGCCAAACATGTTAAAGATGAACTTGTGTCTGACACCAATGTTATTTCTGTTTCTCGTCTACGCTTATCACGATGCCAAATCACACTCGCGACGAAAATATTACCTGGAGAAAATGACGGCAGCTGTGACCCTTGATTTGTTCGACAGCGTGGAGATGCTAGAGTATCTTTTCGAGGAAGAAACAATCTCGGTCCCGCTGGAAAATTCCATCCTAGCTTTCTCTTGCATGAATGTTTTCCTTCCAACTTTTGCCTTATTTGAGCTAAAATTCAACAAGTTTCATGACAGTGGAGAAACTTCTCCGATCTCGTTTAAGTTTATCTATATTTGTACTTTTATGTTTTTTGTCAATGTTCCCTTTTTGGTTTTTAGGCTAATATTGTGGCATGGGTACAACTTAGATATATCGGTGTTGTTGGCGAAAAATGCTCTGGCCATTGTAATGGGAATTATTGAAATCATGGAGTTTTTTGGAGAGCAGAGACCGAGAAAGTGCAAACACTGTTTAAGGACCTTTGCTAAAGACTTTTTCAAGCCTCACATGAAACTTTGTTCGCCTGCTGAAAATATGGAAATGATTTCCTGTGACAAGGCAAGCAAGATGGACGAATCTAAAGATATTGCTCCAAATACGTGTGACATTTCTCCAAATTCAACAGAAACATACGTTTAATTCATATCCCAAACAAGGATAAAGGGTCCGATTTGTAAAACCAATAATGATCGAGAATTACGATTGAATATGAAATGACGTATGTCAAGACAACATTTACACACTGTCATTCAACACGCTAATACTTTGCTAAATAATCTTGTAATCTCCCAGGCTCTCCTAGCGTGTTTAGTATCGTTTTCTGTGTTCTTTTGTTTTGCGTAGAAAGGTGTCATGCTGTGAAAGGATGATTTTTGACAAAGTGCCACGAAAACAAAAAAAGAATTTTAAAAGTAGACTGTTTTAGTAACTGCCGTTCCACTTTTCCCTGCGAGATAAGCGGCGCGATCACGTGTTGTATGCTGAGTTATTCGGGATTATTTAGCCGTCGCGTACCAGTGTGAACTTTGATTTTTACGCTTAAAGAAAACAAATTAAAAGGTTACTAAGGGCTCTACGGTAATGCACGGGGAACACTTTGAACCACCCAGAAATTTGGATATAAAAAAAATCGCTGTTAAACCTTATATACTTTTCCCGTGGGTGCTCAAGGCTTCGCTTGTAAGGACAAAACTGCTCCCTTCTCCAGAATTGATAAAACAGAAGCGCCATAAAATGAGAAAAATGTAAATTTTATGTCGATCATTTTTTCTTTGGACTATCTACTTAAATTGAATATGAGCGAAAAGAGCAAACTTGGGCGTCTTAGGCTCAGTAGAGATGGAAACCACCTGTAGACTCTACAGCCAACGTTGATGCTCCAGTGTATGACGGCAACTTGTTAAAAACTTAGACACCTTTTCAGTGATATGGACGCATAGTAATTCACAGTTTGAAGGGGAACAAATGTTAAACGGGGTGCTGTATTTGTAAAGAGGTAATGTATCCTCGGTTAATATCGCACGTTAAATTTCCTGAGAACTTTTAACACTTGGTCTTGAGACTTCCATTTTTCTCCAACTTCCTCCCAGATATCAGCACAGCCAGCTGATTTCTGACGCCTTTTGATTCTCCCATCAGCCGTCCTTGATTTCTTTCTTGCAGGGACATGCACTCCTACTGCGTATTTCAAGAGAACATCAAAAACTTCCTGTTAGTAAGCGTTTTAGAGGAAGTGAGAATGGACAAAGAGGAAAAGATGTGAATGAGCAGTCAGTACTTGAGGGGCAGATCCACAAGGTGAACGTCTTTGTGCCGGCAGCTTTTAGATTGAAATAAGAGGGAAGAGTTAATTTTTAAAGAGAGTGGGAGACCGTAGAACCGGGGTGAAACCCTCGGAGTAAGGACGAGACCAGGTCTGGGAATCAGAGCTGAGACACAGAGATAGAGGACAAGCGTTCTCACATCATTACTAATGCCTGTCCTGCTCTTTGTGCTCTTTAAAATGCAAAAGCGCGATAAAAAACAATATGGATAACCCATTTGTAAAGAAGTCTACTTTGTCTTCAAAGTGACGTGGATGATCGAATGGTGAAAAAAATCAGAGCCCCCCCCCCCCTTCACCTTCTAAAATCCTCGCTAATAAAGAATCCTTCCTCTGTGAAATCTCTTAAACCCAACATAGAGAAAAAATCAGGGCCCCTAAAATCCTCGTTGGTAAAGAATCCTCTCCCTGTAAAACCTCTCAAAAATAACATTAATGAAAAATAAAACAAAACGATCTCAACATTGTTTAAAACACTCTCATCGGCATGCATATGGCACATTTTGTAACCTACTTATTTTTTCAAATCAACCGAATGCACGAAAGAAAGAAACGGAATGCACGCAGCTGATATCTCAAGCTGACCTCTTCTGAAAGTGAACAGGGCGAGGGCTGCTTCATTTTTCACAATTCCCTCCTTGTATTGATGTAAAGCCATTATCAAGTTCATTCCTCCGTGAGCTAAAAACAATTGGTTTAAGGAAGCATCATTCCCCACAAGGATTCTTAGAACCACAATTCCTAGCGCCTGAATAGCTTCGTCATCTTCGTTACCCCGAATGTACTCGATTACTTCAGCAAAGCACCCAAGCTTGGCTAATTTGAGACGCGTGTCAGCCTGAAGGAAAAGAAACGAATCGATAATGGATAGTAAAAAATAACAAATTTTAATGATTTTCTTTGTTTGTCATTGAAACTGGACTGACAGAACTTCTTAGGGATGGGTCATGTTTATCACCTGGGGGAGGGAGGATTGGTAGGTTTTGGGAGTGTCACTATAAAATTCACCTGACCCCGCCTAAGGCTCTGTATTATTCTAGAGATCCCCTTAATTGGCAGACAATTATCTATAGTCCCCCTCCATACTCTGTTCGCGTTTCCCCTGAAAACCATGTGTCCCCCCTAGTTCTCCGAGCCCTTCCTCCCTCCCCAGGTGACAAATAGTGACTAGCCTCTAAAGAGAGTGAGGAGCCCAATCAAGTATTTGCCCCCACAATCTAAAGTTCAGTCTAAGGGAACCGTATATATGCAGCCATTATAGTAAATTATCCAGAACGTAACGTTTCCACTGATGCTAGATTACCTCTCCGTTAACAACAGCTTCTCTCAAAACCATAAGCGTCGTCTTTCCCAGAGTAGACGGCGCTGGAGGCCGCAAGGAATCTAGTAAATACCCTCCACAGTGCTGAATCACATGTCGAACACATGTAATTCCCAAATACTTCGATTTGTTCATGGCATTACGAACAGGAGCTGCTGAACTGGAAGACCTTTGACTAAGGGTGCTGCTGCGCGATGTTAAAGATGAAGGCCCCCTCGTGGTCCAGGCTTCTTTCGACGCTGGATGACCGGGAGATCCTGAGGAAGAGTATTTGCTGTGTTGGAGAAACCTTATGGTTTTCAACACATTAACCTGGTTGATGGGAAAAAGAATCACGTTATAAGGCAAAAAGAAATATTATAATATTCTATGAAAGATTAAGGCGGCTTCTAATGGTTACCTCCGAAATTTACGCACTTGCCTTCTTAACGGACCGGAAAACAGTCAAGAAATTACAAAAAGTGATGCCTTTATTCTAGGGCTTCTAATAAACGCAACAGAACTGATGAGTCGAAAGTTTGATACGTAGTACTATTAGTATTATTATCCAAATATGCTTCGTCGGTAGAGTACAAGTAACGCGCGAGACGAGCACAAATATCCCGCGACATTTATACTCCAGAAATATCCGTGAAATTCGTCCGCACTGAAATAACAATTTGGCGTGTTGGATAAGTAAATCTCTTATCAAACGTTTTGTTTTGTAGTATCGCTGAGTATTTGTACTCGCTGTTTGTGTTTTGACGAGCCCATACAACTCGTAAAAATACTCAATGATATATACTACACAACAAAACTTCTATCAAGATATATATGTATGTATATGTATGTGTGTGTGCATGTGTGTGTTTGTGTGTGCGTATGTGTGCGTGTGTGTGCGTGTGCGTGTGTGTATGTGTATGTGTGTGTGTATGTGTGTGTGCGTGTGTGTGTGTGTGTGTATGTGTGTGTGTGCGTGTGTGTGTAAATATAAGACAGAATAACTCTTCATGTAACAAAATTCATCATACTACCAGTTTTACCTGAATCTCGTAAATCCCACACATAATCCACGGCGCCAAACACGAGATAACCTTCGCATCAAGAAGACTTTGTTTGACGTAGTGTGTTGTCTCGCGCGAGTCTTGGGTACTAGTCATCTGAGTAAGAGTACTGGGTCGTTCATGAACTGAAGAGGATTGTAAGCTCTTTGATGACGAGACGGAAGTAACACTGGCTTGAGATACTATGCGTGATAAAGAGCTGACAATACATACAAAACCATCTTTAATGAATAAAACGTAAATCATTAGATTTGTGAAAACATTCTCAAGCCTGGCATTTCAAGATTCGCCGTGTTCCTTTTAGATGAGGATACCCTAAGGTCATTCCGTTTCTATCAAGTGGTTTTGGTGAAGAAAGGCAGTTACGTCACAGAAATTAAGGCAGTCTCAGAGGAACAAGGCAATGACGCCAAAGTAATGAATGACGCGAACGATGAACCTCAGTAAGCATGAAAAGAGTGCATTGTGTTATGTTCTATTGTAAGACATAATATTGTCATTGCGCCTTTTTTTAACCGGAGCTACACACCAGAGAAACCACCCCTGAAGACCTGAAAAAAGGTGTTGGATAACCTAGACATCTAGGGGGAGTGCCTATACTCGATGCAAGATCACTTGATGTATGAAAACGGTAAAACTTAAAATGGTGCAGTTGTGAAAGCCTGTCTGCAAAACGTTCATCAAATCTACATTATACATTTGTTAACTGTACAAAAATTACACTGAGTGTTGAATATCAACTTCGTTTGCTTCGGTTTTGCCTCACAGAGCTCTGTGATTGATATGGGACGCCCGCACCTTTGTCTCGAGCAATGAGATGCCAAACTAAATACCTAGGTTTTGGTTTTACAATTCTAAATGGAAAATTGTTCTATTTCTAAGACCACAGTTCAACGACGTACAAACCTTGAGCTTCCTCTTCGGATCATCCTACGACCTTTTGCTCCTTTTGAGATCTTCATGACGTTTTTCACCAGTATTGCAGACTTTTGAAATGAGATGTGTCTCTTTGTCGCTTTGGTTCGTGAACTATTCAAAATTTTCACGTCTTCTCTAGATGGGTCAAATTCGGGCGCTGTGGCTTTAGCAAACAAGCAAAGCAAATTCACTGCTTCTTTAACAAAATCAATCTCATTCTGTTCAAATCTAAAATCTGGATAGCTTTTGCAAGATTCTTTTCTTTTACTTGTACTCTCAAATATTAGCTCCGTCCGTGCGTGCTTCAGTGTTCTTGTGATTTCTCTCGGGGGAAGTGTCGAGGGGTCGATGTCATGAAAAGAGGGAGGATTCACTTTGAATAATCTGTCACTGAGGAACGCTAGCTCGTGAAGAAATTTTAGACCACCGTTTTGAATCATGTGCGCCACGAGGTTTAACCGTCTGCAACGAAAATGAAGAAGGATTTCTTAAAATGGCATTCAACTGTTCAAACAAGTATTAAAGGGGAGGAACTCACTGCGATGCGATAAAATTTACTGATAACCTACTAAGTTGATATGAATCAACTGACTGACTGACCGACTGACTGACCGACTGACTGACCGACCGACCGACTGACTGACTTGGATTGGCTAACTGTCTGAATGACTGACTGACTGACTGTCTGTCTGACGGACGATCAGTATCACGACCAATCAACGAACTGAGTTGGCGATCAATCAGCCTATTGAGTTACACTGCACTTCCCGGAAGTGCAGGCCCAACCTGGTTATATAACCAACTTCGTTCCCAGGGTCTCTCATCTTCCCGTCCCCTCATCTTCTCTCGCTTCAGGGGGCAGGAAGATGAGAGACCCTGGGAACGAGGTTGGTTACTTAACAACTAGATATAGATTAAAGTTCTGGGCCCTGTTGTTCAAAAGACAGGT